CCTCAAAAAGACCAAAAAATAAATAAATAAATAAATAAATAGATAGATAAATAAATAAATAAAAGAAAGAAACATGCCATACCTAATACAGTATTTATATATGTATCTCCCTTCTCCCTTTAAGTTTTTTTAACTTCAAGGTTAAGGTAGGTGAATAATATCATGAATTTTACTTTGTTTGATAAATAAAATTTCCCAAGATTTTTCCAAATGAGCTCATATAGATTTGCTTTGTTATTTTTAAACAACTACAATAGAATTTAGTACAATGCTTATTTTATCACTCTAATATTGATGGTCAAATATATTGTTTAAAATATTTATTACTGCAATTAATATACTATGTACATTTTTATTCATAAAAACATTATACCTATAAATTCTCGAAGATTCTCTAGATAAAATAATATGTATGTATTAAATTATGACTAATACTATCAAAGTTCTCCACAAAGAGATTTACTAGGTTATTAAGATTACCAATGAGTCTATATTTCAGTGTTCCGCTAATGCGGTGTATTATAAAAATCTGATGAGCGATCATGGTATAGAAATGAAAAATGTGGATTTCTTACTTTTAAATAATTTTCAAAAATCCATTATAATATCTATTTAGTGTTCTGAATCATTTTCCTATTGATATAGAATAACACCTCTTTATTAAGAAAATGAGAACTTTGTTGGTCTTTCTTCTACTTTGTTTCTCTTTTGATTTTTATGCTTTGTTCCTTGAAGAAATTTTAATGCCACAGTCAACAAGACTATATTTTAGGAATGCTGAATTTTGTCTGTCTTGTGCTTGTTGTGTTTGTCAGGTTTATTATTATTTTATGTTTTTTCTTACAGAGTTTGTGATTTTACTCAGAGTTTTTTACAAATACACTTTCAGCACACAGTGTGTAGAAAGGTTACCTCATGATACATTGCTGGAGTCCTTTTCATAATGATATCAGTTTTCTATTACAGTGACAAATACATTTGATATTAGTGCTATCATTTTATTTTATAAGTGCTGATTTTAATGCTTTGTTTGGTTATTTCTTTGGGGATTTTTGTTTGTTTGTATTCTTTGCTCTATGTTTTCATTTTTTTACCTATGGGTATATTTTCTTATAATTTGAAAGAATAGTCTGTCATTTAACTGACAGATACGTGATCGCTGATTTTTACTGCATTACAGTGCTTTTGCAATTTTGTCAAAACCAGTGTCCATACACACACATGGTTTCTGAGTTCTCTATCGTTTCACGGATCTACGTGGCTGTCCCTTCACCAAACCACATGTTCTGGATATTCTAACTTTGTAATAAGTCTTGAAATCAGGTAGAAACTTTCCAAACATTATGCCCTTTATTTTGTTACCCTGTTGTATGGGCTAAAATTTCTAGTCCCATCTTGAATAAGAGGATGTGCCTTTACCCTCCTATGTATAATGAAACTGTCTTAAATATTTCTTCTATGTATATTGAGAAACATTTCAGATAGAGTCGTTTTTTACTTCATCTGTCAAGAATAATTTTAAAAATTTAGAACACATACTTTACATTCATATATTTCTATTCTTTCTTTAGTGTAGTCTGACTTTCCTAATGTTTTGATGTTTCTTTGTCCATTTTTTTTTTTTAGTTTCAAGACTTTCTTTTGCCTCTTTTCTTTAGGTTAAGTGCAATGATAATAAACTCTCTTAGTTTTTTCATCTGAGAAGGTTTGTATCTCCCTTTTACTCTTAAAGGATATTTTCAGCGATACAGGATTTGGGGTTGACAGATTTTTTTTTTCTTTCAGCACTTAGGAGATGCTGCAACCCTACCATATTTTTATTGAAGAATCTGTTGCCCTTATAGTTGTATTCCTCCACAGATAAGGTATTTTCTTTTTTACTGATTTTAAGATTTTTTTCTTTCTTGATTTTCAGAAGTTGGTATGTCTTTTATAGTTATTTTTAGTTTATCATTTTTGGCATTCTCTTAGATTCTTTAGTCTTTGAGGTATTTTTTGCCACATTTATAAAACCTTCGGCTATTAGTACTTTGAATATCTTTTCAGGCTTGCCTTTTTTCTTCTTTTCTCCTTTCTTATGATTATATAAGTGTTAGATTTGTTTTAATAGTTGCATAGGTCCTTGAGGCTCTATTTATCTTTATCTTTGTATTTGCTGTTGGGTTCTTCTCTCTCTCTCTCTCTGTCTCTCTCTCTCTCTCTCTCTCTCTTGTTTAGTTATTTCTATGAGTGTTTAGTTTAGTGATTTGTTTCTCTATTCTCCACATTCTGCTTTTCAACCTATTGAGTTATTTAATTTATTAAAATATTTATTATTACACTTTCTTGTTCTGAAAATTCCATTTGGTTCTTCATTTTTCTTACTCTTTGCTGCATTTTTATGCTTTTTATTGCTTTTAAGCATGCCCATTGTTGCTCACTCAATCATTTTTATGATGAGTGGTTTAAAATATTTGTTAGATAAATCTGTCAATGTCACCAGAGTGTTGGTTTGTTATTCATCTTTTCTCATTTAAGTTGAAATTTTTCTGGTTGTTGGTATAATGAGTAATTTTTGTTGTAATCTACACATTCTGAATGCTGTAATGTGAGACTCTGGATCTAAATAAAATCTTCTATTTTTGCACTTGAAATCTGCTACGATACTGCACTGGCAAGGAAAGGGGTTCATCCAATAGGGGTTGAAGTCCAAGTTCCCTGCTTCACTTCTAAATGGAAGGAAAGCGACTTGGGCTGTTTTCCTTCGAGGCCAGGATGTGAGTTCAGAATTCCTGCCCAACTTCCACTGACACCAACCTCCCTAATGGGACAGAGGTGCCTCTTTTTTGCTTCCTATTCAACTTTCCCTGAAAATACATGGGGCGAGCTCTTTGCAGCTTGATGATTGTGAAGGTCCTGACCTTCCATGAGACCTCCTGACACTACGCTTAGAAGGACAGGTGGTCTCTCCTGTTACTACGTACAAGGGGTGCAAGTTAACACTCTCACTAACAAGGTATGGAAATCTCTGCTACTTACTGCCTTGTCACAGTATCTCAGTGCAGGACAATGGTACCTTATTTCATTTAGGTGGGATCTGAATTATATACTTCTCACCTGGTCTTTGCTGATGGAATTGTAGTTGGAAATTTAATTTTACTATGTAGTGTTTGCTGAAGAGGACCATTTATTGTGCAGTCTTGCCAGACTGTACCTATTCCCGATCTTTTTACAAAAGAAAGAAGACTTATCTTAAACGTTTTTCATCTGTATTCTTTACTGCGTCTGGTAGTAGTTTTTCCAGCACCCAGTCTAGAACAGATGAGACTAAAAGAATGGTCAAAAGACTCATCATGTTGCATTTAAGGTTTCTGAGGTTCCTCGCCAGTCTTCCTGCTCTCCACATGTCTTAGGTTTTTAGATTTTTTTCCATAATTTTTTTCTAGGATTTTTACTATGTTTAGAGGGAAGAAAAGGAAAAAGTATGTTTGCTTCATTTCTTTCTAGGTAAGTCTTATCAATAAAATTTAATGTAATCTAGGGAATCCTTTTTAAGTAGTACATATCTTATTATATAATACAGTAATTTTAAATGCATTATACATTAGCTCACCATAAATAATGGTGATGGAAATTATCTGATTCTGCTTTCTCCTAATTTTTCTCATTTCTCTCTACTACAACTTAACTAGCTATATTTTTATTGTTCAATTCTTTATTTTTGGAAGTCTGAATTCTAGAATTTATTGCTGCAGATGTAAACTTACTCACTGAGTCATCATTTAAATAGCAGGCTTTGGAACAGGTTTGTCTCCCGTTACCTGATAGACGCTGTCCTTCTTCACCGTCTTTCTTCTTCCGTTGATGTCTTATGAAAATTATGTTAAAATCTCTATATCGTTATAACTTATCATATTTATCTTATGTCATGTGGCCATAATTTTAACAATTATTTTAAACTTGGCCCTAATAAGATGGATTTCATATTTAATAGCCATTTCATTATAGGCTTTCCATTTATTATTTTGTTCAGGCCTACTTTTCAATTGTTTCTTTAAAATGTTTTTAAGCATATGTATATATATATATATATATTCTTTTAATTATATATATGTATATATAATATTATAATAATATATAATATATATAATATAATATAATATATATATGTATTCTTTGATACCAGGTTATATTTGAATAACTGCTTAACTGTGTAAAACTACTCGTCACATTTTCCCAATAACTGAATAGACATCAATTAATCATATGATAGCCATCAATATTGCTGTAAGGTAGAAAACCAGACTGGTTTCCCTGCTCTTAAGTGATCTCATATTTTCCTTAATATCCTCAACAGAGTTTCCCCTTGCCTAAGATCAATCATAACCATTTTTCCTAGAATAAAATGTATTCATTCAATCTGTAGCATCAGATCTTCTTTTTCAGAGAAAAAAAATCTGAACGATGATAGTATTTGAACATTTCCTTTTCTATTTATACAACTCTGTTCTTTTTATTCCATTATCTCCCTGTCCTCATTTTCAGCATATTTTCTCTCCATGTTCCTGGCTGTGGTATCATCATTTTCCACATTTCCAAAATCTACTTTTAAACTGCCTTCATTTGTATGATGTGAGGTTTAAATTTTATTTTCACGTCTTTTCTGAATCAGCAGCTTACTTTTTCATTGATTTTTGTTGTGCTTTTATTAGTTCCATGGATTCTTGTATCTCTGTATTGTACTCACATTTTACAGAGAATGCTTTTTATTATATTTTTGAATTCACAGAAGAAATTTCAGTTAATACCCTCATATGTTCCACAGCAAAACCTTTCTTCTGTAGTTTCATCAGCCTTTTGTTTTTCCTATTACTTTTCTCCTTTCTCTTTCTTTCTTTTCCTTTTTCTTTCTTACTGAATGTGCACTAAAAAAGCAAGCAAAGCTTTGAACAGTTTTGGTTTTTCATTTTTAAAATGAGGGTAGCATTTTGTTCACTAGCTTCATTTTTTATTGCCCCAGATATTTCTGAAAAGGAATGTGAACTCAGCAGTAGAAAAATTACCTGTTATTAGGAAGCCTTCTCGGCCCACAGTAAAACTCCATATGACACAGGTGGTAGGGCCTCTGTACGTGTATGTGGGTACATGAGTGTATGCGTATATGTGTGTGCATGCATGTGCATGTGAGCATGCGTATATCTACACAGGTGTGTATATGCGTGCCTGTATGTGTGTTGTATGTACGTGAGTATAGGAGTATGTGTGCATGTTTTGACTCTGCTTAGCTGCAAGACTGCATACCATCCAGGGATTGCCTCTGGCCTAAAAGAGTTAAAACACAGCTGTGTATTTCTTCTCCCTTTTCCCACATTTTGCAATACTATATGATGTCCAGGGAGATTCAAGGAAACTTCACCCAATCTGGTGTGATTAGTTTTACCTGTCTGTGTGTGCCAAGGAGATATGGCTGCTTTGCTGGCCCCACTAAAAGCTGTAGGGGTCCAGCAAACCCTCTGTATGTTTTCATTTCACTAAATTTAATATTTCTTCTCATTATGATAATAATCAATAATCTGATTTAACAAAATAAAGCTTCGTGGTTTTCATCAGTGCGTCCTAAGCAAATGTTCTGCTACTGGCTACATCATTCATGCTTTACTGTCTCCTTTTTTTTTTAAAAAAGTAGGTTTATGACAGTTGAGAAGGATATAAAATTCTTCAGCTCGTTAATGTGACATTTACAAAACACAATTTTTGGTAGTTTTAGAAAATTAGCCAAAAGATACAAATTTACTTATAAATTTCCCAGTCAAGGATGTGCATAAGTTGTTTTTATTTCCTAGTTTTGCTTACCTTCTAGTATGCTATATTTTAAATAATGCTATAGAAATGCACTTTCATATTGCCAAATCCTCATTTAAAGAATAAATTGCCCGTGCAATTACATTCCTTGGCACCAAATCTACATTCATACTTTAGCTCACTGCTTGGACAGACAAAGTGACTGCAGTTATTGTTACCTTGCTGACACCTGTCTCCCATTTGGCCAGGTGGACCCTGACACCTTCCAGTCACTGGGTCACACTGTCCCAAGCCACAAGAACACCGGTGAACACAGTCGTGCCCATAGTGACCTGCAGGACAAGCTGTAGGAAAGAGAAAAACAAAGCTGAACACAATTAGATTTTTCTTATTGAATCTTTTGCCAAACATGTAAGTACTTGGCCCATTCTCTTCATTGAACAGGTTTCTTACCTTGAGTTTTTTAATCTAAAAGATAACTTTTTGAAATAACAAAGCAAAAGTAAGAACTCTCTAAGCTGCTTTACTTTTAACACTTTTAGTTGACATTAGGAAAATGCAGTACAACCAAATACCTACTTTCAAAAATGTATACATAATGTCTGTCTTTCATAAATTAAGAACACTGATCCCAGTATGGATCCAGTCTTGTTTTGTCATATACTTATGAATTAACAAATGTGTTTGTATATATGTGCATATATATTTATATTGCATATACATTATATTTGCAGTAATCTTGAGTACTTCCTCTTTAAGTTACATTCTGGAGTATTAGTTTATACTCCTAAACATCACCATAAGGTCTGTGATGGTCACATCTTCAAGTATTTATTTATGTATTTTGTGTTTAGTAATTTATTTTGTTTATTTTACTTCTGTTTGTCATTCCAAAAATTTACAGAGGTGCTTATCAAAATACAAATAATACATAAAGGTAAAATGACTATCCTAAGATTAAGTGTATGGAGCATTTAATAACACTATAAATATAAACGAATGTCATAATTCCCTGACCTTATATGAGGTGAGTTGCAAATTTGGTTCTAACCAACCTAGCAGTCAAAGTACAGGGAAAATGTTGTGGTATAAGATCACAGTTTTCTTAAGACAAAGTATTCTCAATGTTGGAGGAAACTACTGCTTTTGAAAATACTTTGGCAAAAGGACGTTTGTCCCATTGATTCTCTCTGAGGAACAAACACAAAGGAGCTAGCCAGGACCTTCCTAAGGAAATGTTTACAGTTGGCTTTAACTCAAAGATAATCTCACAGGGAGTGTCTCCTAAAACACTCTAAGACACTCAGAGGGAGTGTCTACTAAGTGTCAATTGTCCTCTACCTGGATTGAAGACTTTCCTGTTTTGTTTTGTTTTTTAATTTATCTGCAGGAAAACAGAAAAATTACCCTTATAAAAAGCCGGCAGAACAACTTCTTGCCTAGGAAATACAAGCATCAGGGTATCTTCAACATAAAGGCAGTTAATACCCTGCCTACGCATAAACTTTAGCTACCATTCTTCCAGGGGAAAGACTCAGAAATGCACGGAGTTCATAAGCTAATCACATACAATGAGGTGTGTATGCATGATGAGGTCACTAGTAGTTTCCCTTTACTTTAGATCCCTTACCAAGGGTGCTTTCAAGCTTTTAATTGTAAGGAATATGATTGCCAAATAGAGCACAGAAAACATAACTGCAGCTCAACAAATGACCACAAAGTGGACATTCTTATCCAAAATTTACAGTCCAAAATTTGATACTGCCAAGACTTCTCCACAAGCATTCCTCTACTCACTGCCTTCTCTGTCCTCTTGAAAGATCATCATGACCCTGGGTTCAAACTCTGGGAGTTCCTTCTGACTACGTACACAGGAGCAGAAGAGCGGGAGCAGTCAGCGCGAGTTTATGTCAAGGCATCAGCAAAAATCACTGAAAGATTCAGAAACCGGAAGATCTGATAAATATATATATTTATATGTATATTTTTTTTTATATACTTGTCAGGAATAGCTCAATAGTGGCAAAGCCTGTGCCTTTTCTAAAGAAAGGTTCTTCACACTTCTGCCCCTTAAACTTTATGCCGATAGTTTTTGTAATAAATACTTTCGGACTTTGGGTTTGGTGAAACTGTTTACAGTTTGTTCAGTAGAAGAAGTGTTTCCTTCTGAGCTAGAAAACTGCTGAGGGTAAATGAAGTCATGAAACTTTGGATAATGCATTTGATGTGATGGGAGTGAGAATTCCCACTCTGTTCTGATTTTGTCAAACACTTTCTAACCCTAACTGCGACGTAGCATTGCTGGTTTAGGTGGGGTTACGACGAAAGGTATCTCCTTGGCTATTTTCACTGCCTTTTAGTTCACAATCAAAACGTGAGGCCTCCTCAAGCTAGAATTTAGTTTAGCTTGTGTTTGCTCTTATTTCGTCAAATTGTTAAATAAAATAGCTGCAACAACACTCAGACTTCCAACTGCAGTCCTAAAAACTCAGCTTTATTACCTATAAACTGTGTCAGACATCGGAATTAACAACACATCCACTCCGTAACAGGTATGGGTAAGTTACCTTGACTGCAGTCTGCTCTGATGAATCAAGGAGGGCAGTCACAGGTGCCAATCCCTGTGTCACAGTTGGCACCATTCAGATCCTTACATGTCTCTGGGCAATACAGACCATAAGTGCCTCTGGGCACGCTGTTCAAGGAGAGCAGCAACATACACGGTGTTGTCGCCTAGGGTCGTAGGACTGACTCAGCATTCCCATGATGACTCTGGTATTCCCAATCGTATTCAACCTACTAATTCAAGCATAGAGAGATATGAGAGTGTATACATAAACAAACAGATATCAGCACCTGTTGCTGTTGCTAAAGATGGTATTAGAGTTAACAAATCTACTTCCAAAGAATGTTTGGAATGAGAAATAATTTACCAAACAAAGCTATTTTATTCCAATCCAGGTTGTTTCATTATTGTGATTAACATTTGAATATTATACTTTATATTGTGCAGAATCTATTCTTTAACATAAGAATTGAAAAGGTAACAAGCATAGAGGATGTTTCTCATTTTCTGTGTTTTTTCAATTTTTGTATTTACGGATATATAGCCAACTGTGATATCTTTATAAGAGAGGGAAAAAAATGGTCAAAGAATGTTTTGTATTGAAATTCAAATTTTTATCATCTTTTCATATGCTTTGTCACAGTTTTCGCATGGAGGCATATTTTGCTTATGGACTCAAATACTGGCTGTGTCTTTCTTCTGTTCTTCTGGCTAGAAATAAAATTTTCCATGATAGAGATGGAAAGCAAAACACTAAAATCTTTTTCACACCAGGAGTTATTTCTCTGCTATATCTGTAGTATTTCTTTATTACCCTCTGAAAAATGATGAATTCGCTTTATGTTTCTTGACCTCTTTTTGGTGCACTTCATCCTCCCAAGTGTTTTTTTTTCCCCCCGCCCGTATAAAAATGTAATAGAGTACGCCTTAACACAAATTCATGATTTTTAAATAGTATCTTTCGTTCTTCCATTCACTAAAAACAAAATCCTTCTTCCATGTCCAGCTAGGTCGGTCTCATAGAATGGGAAATTGAGGGTTTTTATTGAATCACAAATATAGTAAAATAAATATACGATTCTGAAAAATAATGCTCAGTGACTTCATATTAGAGAAAACAAGCTAAAGGAGCTGAAGGGAGAGAGATAGAACCAATGAGGTCTGGTTTAGATTGCGGGCATGTTGCTTCTAAGAGGGAGTTTAACTGATTAACAGTTGTATCATTCTGAAATGCAAGATGGCATGGATTTCTGTGCAAGCAAGGAAAAGAAAAACCCTTTATAAAGTGAAAATTATATTCTTATTGAAGAACATACTATACAGCGGATAACATTATAATTATCAAAGAATCAGCATCTCAGTTGAAAAGAGCGAAGAGTTTATATATAAGTATTTGATGAATTTACCTAACTGATATACGTGAAAGTCTAGATTTTAAGATGATTTTCACCAAGTACTGAAAATACTTGGGAGACATAGTTTCCCTCAGGCATATCTCATTTTGCACATTGTTTAAATGATGGTTTTGGATTTGACAGAATTGCCCCTAACTCTTCCATTTGCAGATATAAACAAAAATCAGCTGATTTTTAGCCTTCAATTTAGCTATCCAGTTGAAATTAGGACACTAAATTTGATGAAATGAACCTACTAATTAGTATGCTATTCATAAAAAGAGAGTATATTTGCTAATTTCTTGGTCCCCGAATTCATTAAATCTGTCTCAAGAGTATGGTATGTGTTTATCAAAGTGTCCATAACTTTCTCTGAAAGTAAATTATTTTTTAAATAATTCTGCTTTGCCATTCAATTCTATAAATGTGAAAGTTTGACTTCTGATTCATGCAAACAGCCCTAGCTCAAATATTCGCTTAATTCAACAAGGAAACACACACCAGTACATAATGATTTCATTTGGCTGGTCTCGGTAAAATTCAGGCTCCTCTTCCTCATTTCCTAACATTCCATTTTGATCGTTACTTGGCTTTTGCTCCATCTTTTCCTTTTATTTCTCCCTGGAAATGTTGTCTCCCTGGCAAGGGGTATTTAGTTATTTTCCATTACAAGATGACTATTTCCCCCGCTCCTTTCACAAGCTCCTCCTTTTGTTCTCTTGTTCCAAGAAGCTTGAATAGGACTTTATTCTTCTGATTTATTTAAACATTAAAAGCTAACCGGCAAACCTCTCTGTTATTGTACAATGTGATGAGGTGTGTGGCATTTGGTAGTTTCATTAGAAATGTAGCAAAAAAAAATAAGGCTCTCACTGTACCAAGAGGCATGTAGTTCCAAGAAAATGAATAGTATATCTCTGTTTTCCAGAGTCTGTTTTCCCGGTGTTTGACTAGGTTACTCACACATATACAGCCATTGTTAAAACTGTTTATTCTTAAAAAGAAATACTAAGACTCCATCTTGCTAAATTTATATTGCCAAGAACAGCAACATTAAAGCCTGGCTTCTATGAACATCTTGATATCTTCCTCTGGGCCCTGATAAACTACTCTGTGGTCCACTGCTCAAAGGCATCCTATAGCAAATTTAGGGAGTTCTTAGGAATACTTTCCCTAGAACAGACTGGTTAACTAGCTATGAGGACTCAAATGCCTGAACTTCTCTCAAAGAGAGTGACTGTAAGTAGTAGTGTTGTATGTTGCAGAAATAAAAGGTTTCCGGGTTGTGGTACTTTAAGACCTCTCATTGGTCATAAAATACATAGCACGATGAGCTTATATCTCCCTGGCAGTTATTGTTTTGTGTTTTTTTTCCTACAAGTCGTCCACATGCTGGGACTGCCCTGCCTCTCCCCTAAATTACCGAGAAGTGGTGAGCTGCTTACTGCAAGTTTGTCTGCTTCCTCTGACTCTGCTGAGAGAACATTTTTATTCTCTACTCTGAACTTGAGAACATGAAAGCCCAGTTGTTCTTGGCTGCTGAAACTTTTGCTCTTATGCCAGCTATCCCTTTTATGGATATTTTCTTGACTCTTTTTTCTTAGTCCTGTAATTACAGTGGCTGTTGCCAAGGAACCCTCACAGCCACATCCAACCACGTGTTGTGTGGAAGTAAGCCAATTTGCCTGCTCAGGGGGCCGCTCCCTGACTCAGTCAGCCTCACGTTTTACAAGGTGAAGCCACTCTGCTCTAAGCCGAGGTAGAGAGAGCACAACCCGTTATAGGTAAATCGACAATTTCTCATTAAGATTAAATATCCTTGAAATGAAAATGGAAGCCTTATTTATTTCACTTAAGAGTATCGCCTCAATGTGCATCCTGTGTAAATACCGAATAGTCTCTCTAGTGTGAGAAACTGAAAGTGTAAATAAGGACTAAAAAGAATAATAGATAACTTGAAATAGGAAAACAAATGGTGCAGAGCAGAAGGGGAAATGGGAAGGGTAGGAGAAAAGATAGGAACGGAATTAACATGAGAAAAAGAAAAAAATGGAAACAAAGTCTTTGTAGATAGGGAGGGGTGGAGGGGGTTGAAGGGAGGGCAGGGGGATGGGGAAAAATAAGAACCAAGACGGATTATGTAAAGGTGCAAATATCCAATGATGAATGTCACTACGTTGTATACCTTAAATGTACCAATAAAAATAATTAATTAAAAAAAGAAAACTTCAGTTTAAACTGCCAAAAAAAAAAAAGAAAAAAAGAAGTCCTTCTGACTTGTGCGACAGATATATATCTCCATAAATATATGGAAGAAGTACCTTCCTTTTTTCTATTACATATAAAGTTGAAATTTGTCAGAACCAAAGCTTAATAAATTCATTATATTACATTTTAGTTTTTCATTTTAAGTTTTAATACTACAACAGTTATAGCCCTCAAAGAATATTCTAATTGAAGCTATTTTTGTACATATTTAATTTTGTTTTAACCTGTCATTTGAAATTATGAAAAATGATATTAAAAATATATATTCTGTGGCATGTAGAAAATTAAATAGCTTGAATATGAGTCTATGTTTAAGTGATAGTTGGGGGACACAAATCCCAAGTCATCCATATCTTTGTGGAAGTAGGATAGGAAAGGGAAAATAATCTGCTATAAGAAGGACTAGGGAAGAAATAGAGTATCCATGGCCAAGATTGGGGAAAAGTGAATCTGAGGCCAAAGCTTTTTATTCTTGAACCTATAAAAAGTACATTATAAATAATTACAAGCTTAAAAATTAAGTAGCTGACTGAACATTTTAACATGCTCTTTGGGACTTTTTCCTTATCCATTCTTCTATAACCATTTTCCATGTTTAAATGTCCTAACAAATCAATACAAGGTGTTCGATCTAGGGACCATTATTTTTTATTATCCAACAGAGCCAACTGGAATTTTGACATGTAAGCAAGTCATCATTTTCACTCCAGAATAACAATTCATTTAATTTGATTATCCCTAAGCAGACCCTGGGACTAACTTACTGTATGAATCACTTTAAATTTACTGACATTTGCTGCATGTTGCTCTATAAATTTATATTTTCTTCTTTTGCTTTCCCTCTTCATTTTCATATTTGACATTTGTGAAGAATTTGGAGATACTCTGAATGGAAAATACAAGTAGAAGAATAATTTACATGAGTATACATGATTTTAGGACTCATGTAAAAAAATACACAGCATTTCTATGAATCACAAGTTTGTATTGACTTTTGCCCTTTAACACTCTGAGCAGTGACCCATCCTACTGGGGTCTCCTCAGCAAATTAGAAATAAACACAGACCACATTTGCGGAGATGACAGTGGTTTCCATGGTAGCCAGGCAGACAGGTGCGTATCCGTGTGACCGTCCTCATTCTTGGCTGCCCACTGGCATACCTGGTCACAGTCCTTTTCGTATGTGCCTGGTGGACAAACGAAGAGGGAGAGGAAATGCAAACCCAATTAATTAAATCTGTCTGTGTAAATATAGCTCTAAAAGTGAATGCAGGAAAAAATTTATTAAATAAGACCATTGCCTAGAGAAGTGTGCTGCCCTTTGGGATTTAGGTTTCATTAAATTTACTTGGGGATTACTTTGCTGTTTGATTTTGTTTTGTTCAGTCAATTTGTAACCGACTGTCAAGGGCCAGCTGCAATTTTCTTGTCATTGAAAAAGAATCATAGGGTGATGTCAGGTAAAATCAACTAAAACAATAGTATAATTCACGAGGGACCACATATCCGGATAAAGATATTTTTTTACTGGTGCAGCCTGCTCAACCTCATAAGGTAGTTTCTCTGTGCACATTAGTATGAACTGTATTTGTGTCACTTGTTGGTCAATCTACTCAGTTCTCTCGTTTCTTTTTACAGAGTGAGCAGTGAACTTTCCTCCCAACTTCCAAGTAACATTATGGTGTTTTTATTTTTTTGATAAAATTTTAAAAAGCTTCTGGGTGTTTTTCAGCTTATAAAATAGAGGCAAGTAGACATTGAGTTTCATAGTTGTATTTACGTGACAATTCAATAAATTCAATAAAATAAACACATCCGTTTGTCCTCAGATGCTGAAGACCTAAATTGGATAATAATTTCTGGATCGACCTTTTCATTTATTAACTAAGTGCTTTAACATCAGCAATATTTCAAAGAATTGACTTGTTTGGAAAGACCTCGTGTTGGAGAAGGTATTGATTGGATTGTTCATCTCCTGTTGTCTTAACATCAACTATCCTTACAAATATTTCATCTTCTAGCTGTTTTGAAAATAAAAATGATAGCAATGCCAGAAATTTTAACTATGGGTCATTGGTTATTTACTTAGAGTTAATAACAAAGACGGATAAAATGTAGGGTATTTAACTAAAAAAATATTCACAGCAGAGTTTTTCTTCCAGTTCTTGACTGGCCATATAGACAACAAGTACGAGAGCAATACAGAGAATTGACTCAGTATCTGCACAGCTATTTGTGTGCACGGCTGTCGATCTAGACATTCTTGTACCTAAGAATCATTGATTGTTCAAGTATCTTTCAGTGAAATATTCATCCTGGATGTGCGAAATACACCAAAAAGCACATCTGGCTTTACTGTCTAAAAGGGTTATCAGCTCGGTGATTAAGAGACCGAACAAAGGGAATCAGCCACGGTACTTCAGAAGCGGCTGGATGTGTGTGTTCCTCCTTCTTCTCTCCAGCTCAGTGTTAGCAAACACAAGAGGGTATCATCTACCTTCTTCTGTGACCTCATGAAAGGTACTAGTTCATGGAACATTTCTAACATAAAAGGCTGACAAAATATTTTTAAGATATGATTTCACCAGAGGCTTCTGAGTGTTTGAGAAAGCAAGAGATGAACTTAGTAGAAATTCTTCATATCCTTGGGAAGATCTACATTTGGCCCAGAAATTACTTGAGTATAGAGCTTGGTCTTCCCAGAAAAAAAAAAAAAGATGCCCACAAAACACCGTGCTCTCGGGAGGCAAATTGCAGCGAGCAGCCTCCTCCGTGGCTGTGCTGAATTCAACAGATTTTTGCTGTAAATAATGATATTTCAACTGACTTTCCTACTTCCCATCTTGAGGTATAGATCCTCAGGCATGAGAGAAGTGAAATTTGGGCTTGAGAGCTCTGAGAGAACCATTACAGAGAATGAAATGACCTAAAAAAGTGGCAAATGAGCCAGGTGTGGTGGCGCACGCCTGTAATCCCAGTACTTGGGAGGCTGAGGCAGGAGGATCACTGTGAGTTCAAGACCAGCCTGGGCTACATAGTGAGTTCCAGGTCAGTCTCAACTACATAGTGAAACCTTGTCTCAAAAAGCAAAACAAAACAAAAAAATGGGCGAATGAACTGCATAGACACTTCTCAAAATAAGAAGTACAAATGACCAATAAGTATACGAAAACAGGTTCAGCTGCAAGGAAAGTACAAATCAAAACTACTTTGAGATTACATTTCACTTCAGTCAGAATGACTGTCATCAAGAAATCAATGAATGCTGGTTAGGATGTGGAGAAACATCAGCCCTCTTACATTACTGGTGTGAATGTTACAGTATAACTTTGTAAATCAGTGACCTAGTGTAATTATAGATACCAGTACCGGAGACTCCTCAAAAGCATGAAACTATCAATACCCTTTTATCCACCTATTATCACTTCTGGATACATTTATAACAAGAACGATGTATGCATACCCATGTTTATAAGGCTGCAATTCACAATAACTAAGCTATGTAAATGGCTTAAAAATCCACCAATAGATAAATAGACAAGGTAAATTTTGTCTATATACCCAGTGGAATATTATTTATCCTTCAAGAAGAATGAAATAATGTCATTTGCAGGAAAATGGATTGAACTGGAGACTATCATGTTAAGCAAAACAAGCCAGATTCAGAAAGTTAAATATCACATTTTTACTCATTAAATGTTTATTAGCATATGTTTGTAATACATAATACATACTAGCATATAATGTACATAGTATATGTTAGCATATGATCTAATATATAATGTAGTACATAATGATTGCATTCATCTTGGGGAACTGGTGTTCTTTCATACCGGATTTCAATCATTTTTACTTCCTGTTCCCCTCCCACCCATCCATCTCCCCTCATTCCCAGAACCGCCTCCCATCTCCACGTTCTACCTCCTTGTTTCATGTTATCTATTTTTATCTTGCTCTTTATATTATTTATTAAGTTTCTCATAAAACAGAAACCATGAAATATGTAACCTGTGAGTCTGATTTATTTCACTTAGCATTACGGCCTCGGGGTCCATTCATTTTCCTGTGACTCAAATTTATCCTTGTTTATGACTGAGTAATAAATACTGTGTAAATATTCCACATTTTCTGTATGGTTTCGTCTATTCATGAGCATATCATCACTTCCAAGCTTTAGTTACTGAGAGTTGTGCAGCTATACACATTTTCTCTTATATGAAAGAGAGAAAGAGAGAGAAAGAAAGGAAAGAAAGCAAGGAGGGAAGGAAGGAGAAGAAGACATAATGGGAAAGTACAAGGTAGGTTTTGGAAATCCTGAACGGGGGGCTAGGAGGAGCGGGTAGAGGGAGAGATGGGGAACTGCATTAAAATGATCAAGATATGCTAAATGCATTACTGATCTCCCAAAATGAATTTCACCATTCCTTATTACTAGTATGAACTAAAGATTTTCTGTAACTACACATACGATTTATAGTAAATAGTTAATCAACACCATATCCCTAAGAAAACCTGTAAAATTACATATACATTCTTACTTTTTACAACATATTTAAAGGATGAATAAGAGAATAGCCTATAAACAAATAGACCAACATGTAAGACATGAAACAAACCTGGACTGGTGTAAAATTATCAAGTAAAGGTGGAGCGATCCAGATTAAAATGTATTCACTATGCTTTAGGTTGTCCTGTACTGCAATTAACTTTATCTCTGCTTTAAAGACGTTATTTAAGTTTTAAAGACTTAAATTTTCTTTCCCATATGAGGAGGTTAGCAGAATTTATCTCACAGGTTGTTATGTGGAGTAACACAGAGATACCTAAACAAAATGTATTCCCTTTCTATTGAAACATATTTAAAATTAGAATTAACTGTTCAGTAAGGCTTCTTTAGATCAGCAAACCACACAGAAAAACAGCATTGGTATAGGGGATAATCTTGTCATTTTAAAAGAGCATCTCTATGTGTATTCTCAACTCAGGGAAAATTATTTCTTAAAAGCAAATATTGAAATCACTCAAGAAGTTGTTGAAACACAAAAATACAATGTACTATATTCTCACTAACTTTCTAAAGTCTTGGGGTTTTATGAGATCACTTTTCCATCATACGAATACAGATACATCTTTAGCCTTGACTATGGAACTCCAGAGAAAACAAAATGGAGATCTAGTTTACTCATGACAAGTTGATCTCTTGGTGCTGTTAAACTCAATATTCAAGTGGATACTTAAAATTCACTGAAGAAGTTTGCAATTTGTATTGCAAAACAGTAAAAGAAAAAATGGAAAATGAAATCAAGAAAAAGCAATATAAATGTACCAAAATATTTTTGAGAAATACTGTAATGCTTCTTAATTACATAATCATCATGAAACATATCTATCCTCATCCAGGTAATAATGGTTATTTCTGTGAAGGATTCAGAAAAAAATGGAGTTAATACAAAGCCTGGTAGCTCTAGGTCTTCTGTAAGAGAGAATGGAAGGAATTAACAAAGCAATTTCTCTTGTTGGTTAATGTTCTCACAATTCCTGATAGACTGACTGCATTGTTATGTACATTACACAAGATGCATAGAACTTTACCTTCTTATTTATCCAAGAAATATTTCCTGAATTCCACTATGTGCCAGATTCACAGTGGCAAGCAAAACTGCACATGACGTTTGCACCCAGAAAACTTATAATTGGGGGGATAAATCCAATCAAGTAATCATTCAAGTAAATACCTAAATTAAACATATTGTAAAGGTGCAGGGTCCCGTGAGAAGAACAAACCCAGGGACTCAGTATAAGGGCAGATGTGAGGTGGGGTGTTTTACTTACCAGTATTGTCTGGAGAAATCACTGCTGACCTGAGACATGAAACACCAGAGTCTGAGTAGTGGAAGTGGGGAGCATTAGGTATAAGGGAAAGAAAAGATTTCCAGAGGGAGACCCGTGATTATATGAGAATTACTGCAACAATTTTTGAGGACCTCACTGTCAATGGTACGTGACTGTTAGACAATGGTCCAACACACTTTATGACGAACATTCCTGTGTTCATTTCGTATGGTAGAAACAAAATTTCATTTATAAATCTGTGGCTTAAAACAACACAAATTTATTAGATCACAGTTCTTGAGAACGAATTTGTCCAGTCTAGCTGTTGGCAAAGGCTAAGTTCTTTGTGGAGGCC